TATATATATATATATAGATAAGAATACATTCAGAAAACTTTTATAAAAAACAAATATAATAATAAATATTATTCTATATTCATTTTCTTTAGCAAAAAATTGTTTATGCTAATAGATGTATTAATTTAAACTGCAAACTGCATACTTTAAGTTTTTCCACTCTGTTCTTATTGCCTAAAGTTTCTCTTTACTAAGAAACAAAGAGCATACCTGTAAGTAATATTACATAAGATCTTATATATTAAACAACTGAAGTTTTGTTTAAACATTTGCAACTGTGAGAAGTGAGGAAGTCCGGAACACTGGGAATTGCCGTTATTAATCATCAAAAGATGAAAATACATGAATACCAGTGTGTGCCATGACATCTGATGATAGGAATCTGTGTTTCTGTAATAAGCCAACTTCCAGGGGTAATCAGTTAATTGCGCATCAGTGATGGTCTAGGGTCCATTTGTATTCGTTTGTTTGATAACCCAGAGTTCTCTAAATGCATTTTTACATTTACACAATTACATTCCGAATCGCTAGCCACGATATAAGGGCTACAATTAAAAATAAAATAATAAAAATTTACTTGGTGAAATAAAATGTGTGGTGGATGTACCGGTACATACCTGGTACAAAATATTCTTCAATAGTACAAATATACTTTTAAAGAAGATTATAATTAAATATAGCTTTGTAAAGAAACATACATAAAAATAACAAAATATTCTTTACTTTTTAAATCTTAAAACAATCCACTTAGTCAAATAGCTCCCTACGAGTGGCTAATGGATGGAATCAGAGTAGGTTGCAGTGCGTGCGTACAAACGGACTGCCAAATCCCAAGGGTGCCGATACTGGTCAATGTCAAATACCTCTTTTGTCACATCACTAGTATACCTCAAAAAAACACGACAGGGTTGTTGTAAATTTTAAACGTTTCTCGCCATAGCTGTAAAAATCTAATTATGTTAAACTTAATAGATTGTCTGTTGTTTGAACTAATTTGTTTTAGGCCCAGGTGTCCATGGAAATTTCTAAAATTTACTTTTCAGTCATTCTCGAACTAGAAAAATTTCTGTCTTTATTACATCTAATATGAAGAAATCAGTCTCCACTGTACTCGGCTAGAGATTGGTTCGGTTAAGCTATTTTTAAGTAAAATTTCGGCTCTCATCAGGATTTTGTTTATGTCCCCAATTCCTTAATCGCTTAATTATTTAACTACATCTTAAGTAGAAATAAGTCGAAACTGGTTACTTTGTACTCGGATACTTTTATTTGTAGTCTCAGGAAAAAAATGGAAAGAAATTTTTATGACAATAGATACATAAATCATAAATTTAAGGAAAATAAATGCTAGAGATTTTTTTGTACCTTGTGCATCTCATTCATTACATTTAGTTGTAAATGATGCTGCCAAAGTAACAGTTAATTTTTAACATTGTACAAGAATTGTGCATGTTTTTCTGCATCCGCTTATAGATGGGACATACTAAATTGTAATATCACTAGTTTAACATTGAAATCTGTAAGTAATAAAAAGTAGGAGAGCATAATAAAAGCAGAATAAATATATCAAATATTTTAATGGATTTTTTTAAACTCCTGTCAACCATACAGAACTCTTGTACTCACTCGTTTACCTCTATTGTCCAGTACTTCTTAACCATTCGTAAAACAAACATTTTCGGCCTCAGCCAAGGTCTGCATCAGGTTAAAAGAACAATTGGATTCCAATCTTAGAACAAACAATTTTTCGTTCATTCTAATATTAAATATTAATTTTAATTAATTCAAAGTCGTTAAAATATGAAAATAATCATGCAATGTGTTTTTATATTTTAGAAAATACAAGGAAAGCGGCACTTTCACCGCTTCCAAGGACGGCACGCCACTGATGAATACCTCAACTTTCTCAGATTATTGTCAAGATCCCCTGACACCAACATTCTGTAAAAATGCCACTTAAAATCTTAGAAAGTCTTCCTGGGAGGCTTTTTATTTTTTGGGAAACTGGCTTCTATGTAGGTGTTCAACACATGAAGAAAACCTGAAAAACTGCAAGTCCATTGATGAGGTACAAACCTGTGAACAACTGCCAGTGTTTGGTGATTTTATCTACTTTACCTAACTGCACAACATACTGAATTTATAAAAAGTGTGACTCACATTAACCAATTAACCTGTAGGGCCCATCAACTGCAAGATGCATTTCTATTTTGGATGATTATAAGACAGTAAAAAAAGGTCTGTTAGAATTGATTTTTTACATACAATCAAAAAAGAGAAAGTTCAAATCTATAATAAAATTTTAGGATATTTGTCCCAAATCTTCCCATCATCAGATTCTCTATGCTTTCAAATTTAACAATATTGATGGGAAGTCCTGAAAAATGTTTTAGCCATTAATTAATAAATGTTGATTTTTATACATTACATAGCATTGCTATATTTTTTTTATTCTTGTTCATCTATGTATTATTAATTAACAAATTTCTGAATTTATAAAAGTTTACTTTAAATGCAGTCTTGATTAAGATTTTTCTAGAATATTAAATTCTAACACTTTATAAAGGTATGAATATCAACTTCTTATTTTTTTACATCAATGGTA